TCTATTCTTTTCTGATATCAATATGACTACTCCTGATATTTTTGTTGGCCTCTGCCTTGTTCATTTTTACCAGTCACTTTACTTAACCTTTGTCATTTCTTTAAAAAAAAAATTACTTATTTATTTATATTTTTGAGAGCGTGGAAGGGAGGGAGAAAGAAAGGAAGAGAAACATTCACGTGTGAGAGAAACATCTATCTGTTGCCTCTTGTATGCCTCCAGCTGGGGACCTGGCCCACAACCCAGACATCTGCCTCACCTGGGACTCTAAACAGCGACCTTCAGTTTTGTGAGGGAGACAATCCACTGAGCCACACCAGTCAGTGCTAACCTTTGCCATTTCGTTTTAGGTGAACCCCTAGAGAACTGTATGCACAAACACACATGTATACCCTCTCGATTTATTTTTTGATCCAAATTGAAAATCTAACTTTAAATAAAAAGGTTTAGGTGACATGTGGATTCTATTTTCCTTCTATTTGTCTATTTTTCTTGTGTCTCTTTTTTTTTCTTCCTGTCTTTCAAGTCTGTATATTGATCAAGGCTATTATTTTTTTCTACAAACTATGCAAGAATGCAAGAATTGACTATACTTCCTTTTTATGTTTCTTCACTGCCTTGTTACTCCTCCCCCTACTCAAACAGATGGTTATATCCACCTTAAAAAAAAAATTTAATGGTTGACACTGCTACAGATGTCTCCCATTTTTCCACCACCCTTTTCCCCCTCTTCTTAATGTAATGATGAAATGACCTCAGGTTTCTAAATACAGTGGACACTGTTCAGCACTCGTGTTCTCTCACCCCTCAGCCATTCAAAACAATCGACTACTCTGCCTTCCCCACAGCCCCTTACTCTATGACACTAAAATTTTCTACAGCTTTTTGTTTGTCTTATTATTCCTTCTTATTTATTTTTTTCAATTATAGCTGACATACCATATTATATTAATTTTAATATACACCCCATATTATATTAGTTTTAGGTATATACCATGTTATATTAATTTTAGGTGTATGCCCCAATTTTAGATATTATATAACTTTCTAAGAGATCATCCTGATAAATCTCATATTCCTCTGACACCTTACACAGCTTTTAGAATATGATTGACTATAATCCCTATGCTGTACCTTATACCCCCATGACTATTCTACTACCAATTTGTACTTATTAAGCCCTTTGTTTTTTTTTACCCAACCTCTCAAACCCCCTCCCATCTGGTAACCCTCAGAATGTCCTCTGTATCTCTCAGTCTGTTTCTGTTCTGCATTTATTTAGTTTGTTTTTCAGATTCAATTGTTGATAGATATGTTTTTATTGCCATTTTTATTGTTCATATTTTTTATCTTCTCTTCTTAAAGAAGATCCTTTAGCATTTCATGTAATACTGGTTTAGTGATGATGAACTCCTTTAGCTTTTTCTTGTCTGTAAAGTTCTTTATTTGTCCTTTGATCCTAAATGATAGCTTTGCTGGGTAATCTTGGTTGTAGGTTGCTGCTGTTCATAACTTTGAATATTTCTTGCCAATCCCTTCTGGCCTGCAAAGTTTCTGTTGAGAAATCAGCTGACAGTATTTCGGGAGCTCCCTTGTGTTGTAGACCGCTCTGCCTGATTTTAGGAATTGTATCTCTACCCCTTGTGGCTAAGGGTGAGAGACGACCATTAGAATGCCAGCCACGGAAGACAAAGCCTGTCTCTGGTAGCAAACGCTGCCTCAGTTCCTCTCCCTGACGCCAAAGCTTGGTCGGAAGTCAATACGGGTAAGACTCCTCAAAGTGGGGGGACAACCTAAGCCAGACTCAATCACTTGGGAGGCCTTCATAGAAGGACTCGAGGGGCTGCAACAAAGAGCAATGGACTCTCACCCCCCCCCCCCGCTTTGACATAGCCCGAGCCCCCATGTTCTCTGGGAGAAGTGCTTCCTGGCTCTAATCCCCTTAAGCCTGAATACCTGTTGGGGGGAGGTGCAGCTCCTTGCCTTGCTAGAGCATATCCTGGGGAAAAATCTAGCATCACAAAGACTTCCTGATAAACCTATGAAATCTGCTCTGCTAAGAGTGCTTTCATTCATATGATAAGAGTCCGAGAGGAAATGAGTATATCTCCCAAAGTTTCTGCAACTCTCTTCCTGACAGACACCGACTCAGACTTTGAAGCCCTCAGATTTCTTTGAACTGTTATCTACTGTTTGATCCTTGCCGCCCTGCATTCCTGTGTATTACAACCCATTAAAAGGCTATGGAAGAGGGTGCTCGGGGCCTTTGTCTCCCCTGAGAAACTGGCCACAGCCCACTCCTCCTCCCCAAAGAGATCCAGCATCTCGGTCATTATTCATTCACTCGTGTCTGTGGCACCGGGGAAACTTGCAAAGAAGTCGCTCCCACACCCTTGTAGGTAACTACTGCTTTTCTTTTGCTGCTTTTAATATTCTCTCTTTGTCTTTAAACTTTGCATTTTAATTATTATGTATGTTGGTGTAGGCCTCTTATTTTCAACTTGTTTGGGACTCTGCATTTCCTGAACTTGTATGCCTACTTCCTTCACCAGCTTAGTAATGTTCTCTGTCATTATATTTACAAAGAGGTTTCCAATTCCTTTTTTTTTCTCTCTTCTCCTTCTAGCACCCCCATGATGTAAATCCTTGCAGGCTTGAAATTGTCCCAAAGGCTCCTTACACTATCTTCATTTTTTTTTTTTTTTTACTGTTCTGATTGGGCACTTTTGCTTCCTTATACTCCAAATCACTGCTTTGATTCTCAGCTTCATCCACTCTTTTGTTGATTCCCTGTAAATTATTCATTTCAGTTAGAGTATTTTCCATTTCTGACTGGTTCTTTTTTATGATTTCCATGTCCTCTTCTTTGCTGGTGAAGTTCTGTCTAAATTCATCTATTCTTCACCTAAGTTCATTGAGCATCCCTATAACTAATGTTTTGAACTCCACACCTAGTAGGTTGCTTGTCTCCATTTTGTTTAGTTCTTTTTCTGGAGTTTCATTCTGTTCTTTCATGTTCCTTTGTCTCTTCATTTTGGCAGTCTCCCTGTGTTTGGTTCTATGCATTAGGTAGAGATTCTACATCTTCTATGCTTGATAGAGTAGCCTACTATAGCAGGTGTCCTGTAGGGTCTAGTGGCACAGCCTCCTCTTTCACCAGAGCTGGACACTCCAGGTGTGCCCCCCACCCCATGTAGGCTGTGTACACCTTCCTGTTGTAGTTGAGGCTTGATTAGTATTGGCAATCAGTGGGAGGAAATTACCCCTAGGCCAGTAATGGCAAGAGGATCACCACAGAGGATCAACTATGCAAGGGCCCACTACATGAATCAGGATTTACTTCACTGGGGGTCTGGTGCCCAATGAGTCCACCCCTTGAGGGTATAACTTGTGGAGGTAATTGGGTGGTGATTCCACATGGGCTGAAGCCATCCACTGGGTGTGCTAGCTCTGGGGCCTCCCAGATGATGCCGACCAAGGTCAGTCATCACCTTTGTTTTGCCCAGGGCCACCCAGCATGACCTATAGAGTAACCTGCAGATGGCTGCTACTTGTGTTAGGCCTGGGGCCAGTTAGCGAGAGGCAATGGGGCATGCTGATACCATATGCTTCTCTTTTAGGGATTTCAGGAAAGTCTAAAACATGAGCCAAGACAGGCCATTAAGATGGAAAAGCCACTGGAAAGAGCTTGGATGAACCCACAAGTTGTGGAGGGGTCTCAGGGAATCACCAGGGCAGGTGGAATAGTGATGGCTAGGTTGATGGAGACTCAGATATGGTGCTTGCCTGCCAGCTGTGTTGGCAAGGAAGTTGTGTTCAACAAAGGAACAATGGCCTCCACCAACACTTCTGCCTGAAAGCTGTCCCTCTAGCTCTCCCCCTCACACGATAGTTTAGTTCCTCCTCATATGTCACTGGTGCTTTTCAAGCTGCTGCCCCAGTGCTGGAACTCAGAGGGAGGGAGTCCAAGTTTACGCATGGGCCCTTTAAGTGAAATGCCTGGATGTCCAGAAGCCTTCTGTCATACTCAGCTACAATCCTCACTGGTTTTCACAACCAGAAGTATTGGGGACTTCTCTTCCTGGCACTGGAACCTTGGGTTGGGCGTCCTGATGTAGGGCTGTGATGCCTTACTCATCAAGGACAACGCCCACAGCTGATATTCCTCCTGATTGTTATTCTCCAAATGTGGGTGTGGGACCAGCCCATTCTGCATGCCCTCCCCTCCCACCAGGTTTCTTTATATCCTTAGTTCTGAGCCTTCCATTCAGCTCAATATCAGGTGGTTCTGAATGATGGTTGTGATGCAGTTTAGTTGTAATTTTAATGTGGATGTGGGAGGATGAGTACCATACTCATCTACTGAGCATCTTGACTGGGAAGACTTCTGTCTTATTTCTTCAGCTACATTTCTGTCTCTTCCTCCTCTTCCTTTTCTCCCTTCCTCTCCTCTCCCCCTCCTCCTCCTCCTCTTCTCTATATTCTAACCCAGGTGATACCCACTTCCGTGGCTCCAGTTACTACCAGATACAACTGGATTTCCAAATCTCTAGTCCAGACCAGTTTTTTTTGTGCTCAAAATTGACACATACAATTGTTTTCTTGACACTTTCATGTGACGTCTGACAGGCACATCAACCTCAAACACCCAAAATGAGTCCATGATTTTCCTTCATGCCAGCCCTCTCCTATCCTGCACCTCATCAAACTGCATTAACAAAGACCTGTTTTCTGCTCTTGCCCCTGATGTCTTTACATCAACACATCCAAACAATTCTGCCTCCAATGCAGTTTTGGAACTATTTGCTCCTTTCTACCTCCATTGCTAACAACTTGGTCCAAGTGACCACCATCTTTTACCTGGGAAAATACAGCCGTCTCCCTACTAGTCTCCCAACTTCTGCTTTTACCCTTTTAAAATCTACTTTCCACCCAGCACCCAGAACTTGCTGAAATACAAAAGTATGAGGGGTCTGTCCAGAAAGTATCCAGCCATGTAATATGAACAGTAGAAACATTTATTGAAGAGGATACAAGAAACATTATACCTAGGACAAGGATGCCTCCTCAGTCCCCTTGAAAGTAGGCACCTTGGGACCTCACACAATTCTCCCAGTGTCTCTACCACTGTTCCAAACACTCCAAAAATCCTTTGTTGGAATCACCATCAGTTGCCGTTATATTTCTCTGAATCTCATCGACAGTCTGAAATCTCTTCCCTTTCAAAGGTGATTTAGTTTTGGGAAAAGCTGGAAGTTGCAGGGTGCCAAATCTGGGCTGATATTTGGGGTGCTGAGTTACCTGGGTGATGTGATGTTTCACCCAAAAGCTCTGCTCAAGATGTGATGCATGAAAGGGTACATTGTGGTGAAGCTGCCAATCACCAGTTGCCTATAGCTGTAGCTATTTTTGTTGTACTGCATCTCTCAACTGACAAAGAATATTGCGATAGTACTCCTTATTGTTTGGCCTGGAGGGGCATACAAGTGACTGGACAACACCTTTCCAATAAAAAAATAGTCAACATGGTCTTAGTCTTGCTGCAGCTTTGCTGTATCTTTTTCAGGCGTGAAGAACCAGGTGACTTTCATTGGGACAACTTGACCTTCATTTCCAGATCATAACCATAGACCCACAATTCATCTTGTTATGACCTTCTTGAGGAAATCTGGTTCCTTGGTAGTGGTTTGAATCAAGTCATCAACAATTACAGCACAATGTTCCTTCTGCTCTGGGAGGAGAAGCCGCAGAATGAATTTTGCCACTAAATGGTTCATGCCAAGATGCTGCATCAAAATCTTGGACACACTAGTTTTTAGAATCTCCAGATCAGCTTCTAGTTCTCACAGTGTAAGTCACCGATCTTTGTTGATTGCAGCCCATGCATGTCCAACATTCCCAGGTGTTCTGCTTGTTGCAGGCCTTCCAGAATGTGGATCACTTTCAACAAACCCTGGACTGTCTTTGAAGTGTTTGTGGCACACTTCTATTCGCACTGCACTCATTGCATCGTCCCTGAAAGCTTTCTGAATCATCTAAATAGTTTCTAGGGTGGAACGTTCAAGCTTAACACAAAATTTCATACAGATTCATAGCTCTACTCACTCAGTCATCTTCAATGTGATGGCCACACAGTACGTATGCTTACTCAACAGCATCGACTGCCCTCGTTGACTAGTACGGTGAAGTCATCATTGTCCACGCATGTGCATTCCAGTCCACTCTCCTTGGCTGCCAGGTTACTGGTGTCATACAAACTGTTGTCATTAACAACGGTTGAACTTTTTCTGGACAGACCTTGTAGGATACTAGGTCCTTGTGATCTGGCCTGTGCCAACCACCCCAGCTTTTCCACCCTTCCTGTCCTGTTTATATTCCAGCTACCACACCTTCCTTCAGTCCCTCTAAAACCCTGGCTAAATTCCTGCCAAACTCCTTGTACTCACTCTCCTCACTTCCTTCATGTCTTTGCAGGCCTGACTCCTCTGTGTCCTAGATCAGAGGTTCAAGTCCCACCAGGGGAACTCAATCTAAAGTCACCTGTTCCCAATACCCTAGACAACTAACTCTATTTTCATCATAATGCTCATCACTATCTATAATTATATAATTTACTTATGTGTTTCTAACCACTAATATATAAGTTTGACTGCAGACAGCTGATCTTTTTTTCACATTTGTGTCCTCAGTGACAATACCTGGCACTAACAGGTGCTCAATAAAATGGGTCAAATGAAAGTGATGTTCAGCTAATCCAATGCTGCTCTGATGCAGGTATAAAAAGAAGGAGATTTGGAGTCAGCAGATTCAGATTTAAATATTGTCTATACCACTTAATAGATGTGTCTTTCAGCAAGTTATGTGACCCTCAAGTTTCTCATCTGAAATACATGGGTAACAAAACTGTCTACTCTACAAGCTGAACAGAGTTGCTGTAAGGATTAAATGAGAGAAAAGACCTAAACACTTGGCACCATGAAGAGCACACAGTAAGAATTTAATAAGCAACAGGTACCAAGTATATATCTATATAAATCGCGCACACACATACACATACACACACACACTTTGGTGTTCATCTTCACTTGGCTTAATGGTTCCACTGCCCTGCCTTTGATACCACAACCTGGGTGTTCTTAACAATATCATGTCTTAGAAGCACAGTCTGAGTCTCTAGCATTTTCTGATCAGTTCCTACCACACCCCAGCATAATGAGCTTTAGAAACCTGTCAATGATTTACCTGAAAATATGAATATTCCTCTCCAGTATAATAGTGGTTTCAAGCAGCTCCCATGCCATCTACTACTTCAGAGGTCTGTGAATAGTAAATACACACAGATCGATACAAATATTGCACATGTTGAAAGCATAAAGTAATAAAATCAGCTTTGTACTCATCATAAAATTCTGTGGGCACAGGTTAAAGTAGTAGCCCCTATTATGGCAAAACAGGCCCTGTTTAAAACACATAGTAGCAGGAACAATGAAATCTTTATCATTTTTATTATTTTTATTTGAACATATATACATATGTACAAAATACCTACGGTCAGAATCCTCTATTATAATTTCATTTGATTTACAAAAACAGGACAGCAAAATAACTTAGATCACTAATACTGTACAAAAATAAAACTGATTAAACAGTTGTAAAGATCAGTCTCTTACAGTGTTACAGATCATTCACCTGTTGTGAAAGAACATATCAATCTATCCAGAGTGATGAGTACTGTGCTAAATCGGCAAACTTACAACTAATCAGTTTCTGTAATTATAACTACTGAATATAAGTCTCAAAAGAAGCATGATGTAGAGACAGACCTTAAAGCCAGGGCGTCATTCCACAGTGGTGAAGGGCTTCCTTCTTCCCTAACCAAGGAGAGGAGTTATCTTAACTCTAAAACTATCCAATTTTCCAGGATATGACAACTACTGACAGTATTAGATAAAACAACTTTTCTTTCTTTTTAAACACCTGCAAACAAGTCTTTCGAAAAATTCGGTTTGGTTAAAAAAGTAAACAAAAATTACTATCCTGCATTTGGATTTTTGTAAGTTAAATCCATGGTCTTTTTAATATAAAAAGTGTTTCATAGTTTTAGTGTTCAATGAACTCTAGTAGTCCTAGTTGAACCGTATGTTGATGTAGTAATCTAATTAGAATGCTCATTCCTGTTTTATGACATTTTAAAACAGGGTTTATCACAAAGAATAAAAAGCCTCGAGTTTATACGTCACATTACTATAATATATAATAGAATATCAAACGTGTGTTCGTCAACAACTTGAAAAGGCAAGGAGCAACTTTTGGGGGGAGTGAATTGTGCATTATTATTTAAAACAAGTTGCTGCATTGACATCCATCTACGTGCTGGACAGAAGCCACAAACAGATGTACTCCTGAAACTACGAAGATTGTCTTTCACTGACTTTGCCTGGTTTTCCTTCGTTGCTTTCTGGGAGGGAAAGATGAGTTTGTACAAGTTTGTGGGTTGCTAGGCAACCCCAAACTCCTCGCTCACTAAAAGGCCGCGCAGAGGATCACAAGCAGAACCATTCCATGAGTTCAGCAAGAAATAGGCAGCCTAACCTATTTCATATGGAAGAACAGATGTCCTTAGAACTTATTTTGGACACAGAAATTAAAATTTGGTTTAAAATAAGTGTTTCAAAAATCTGAAACAGAGGTAGGAAGTGTTCTTTATTTTTCCTGACATGTTTTCCCACGAGAAAACACTTTCCTTTTCATCCCATGGACTGCTCCCAGTCCCTTAATTGTTAAAAGCAGTTCCCTTTATAGAACTACTAATATAACTACATTGGTTAAACAAAACAAAAAGAAAAAAACAAAAAAACCCCACACCGTGCTAGTGATGGCTGTTGTGCTGGAAGGAGTCGTCAGCTGTGACCCACCGGAGCCTGCACTGGTTCTGAACTGGAAATGAGCACGTATCAGGTGAAGTACTGACTCGCTGCTCGGGAGGTGCCCTGGTTTACACAACACATCTTACAGCACACGTGCAAACCAGGGTGCCCCAGAGCTCCCTGTCTTAGATACCAGATAAAACTGTCAGAAACCGATGTTTCTGAAGAAAAAAAAAATGTAAACATTTCCCCACAATCACTGCTGACTCCCCTACTTGAGGTTTGTTTTCTCCTGTGAAAACTCAGCTCATTTTTTCTGACCACATAAAGGCCAAAATGAAGTTTTCAGGTAAATGGCATGTCATGGATGTAGTGGTTTAGGCCATTGTAGACACCTGGATACGAGATACCTAGTGGTGAGGCTTCTGATGGAAAAGATACAGTGACAGGTTTTCATTTGTATGTTTGCCATGTGCCTTCGTTTTCCAAAAGGGATGACTTTGTAGCCTCCTCTGAAATCATCGTGGTATTTTCCCTTGGCACCCACTGCTTTTAGGGGTATATTTTTCTTTTCACAGTTCGGCTCCCTTTTCGTTTTACATAAATCTTGCACCTGTTAGTGGGAGTTTTGTAGGAACGTGGGAAGGAGACCAACAAACCTTTCTCCGGCCCAAAATAGGTATTTCCAGAGCTAGCTACTGTTATGCACCCATTCAATTAAAACCCAACAGAGTCAAAGCCCCCTCTCCCTTCGTGGCATTATGGTACAATAAGGTGATATTAACTAAAAGCATAGGAGAATCTGGGAAGTTAATAGAGTCAAAATTCTGTTTGTTCTTTTTAAATTAAACAAAAACTACCCTCCTCCTCCTTCAGCGTCTGCTGCATATATTCTGCCCTCACATCTGCTGACTTCTTAGGGACACGTGTGTACTGTAAAATAAGCAGATTATAACGTGGTTCCAAAAAGAATATCTGCTTCTATCCTTAAAGCATGAACTTAACTTATTCATCCTCTGCATTACAAATTAAAGTGCAGCTTATGTTCAAAAAGTACAATTCATACAAAGCAAGGTTTAAAAGTTCTGTACTTAGTGTAACCTTTTTCCCAAGGTTTGTCTTGATTAGTATAAACTCCGACTGCTTACCCATGGACTATAAGTAACTCTGTTTGTTTTCAAGTCTTTAGATGACAGGTCATGCTGGAGGAGATGTGCTCTTGCTTGCATAAAGACAGCTGTGCTATGGCGTTACTTGTTTTTTAATCTCCAAAGTTAACGTGATTCAAGAGAGTGGTTTTGCTAAAGAAACTGAAGCACACTCGTCATTACAATAAAAGGAACGAAAACAATTCGGAGAGACGGCAAGCAGAACGGGCCCAGAATCACCGTGCGATGCCATAGTCAACTCACCCAGTCAGACTATGTACACCAGTGTTTAATCTTTCAACTGCTACCCCAGTCTTGGCCTCATTATCCCTTTCCCCCCACCCATCATGTCCCGCCCACCCCCGAAAAATAAAGGAGAAAGAAAAAAAAAAAAGCATTTGTCTTCTCTCTGGAAGTCAGAGACAGAGCAGAGTTGCCTCTGCAAAGGGACCAAGTGTGGACTTTGATCTTGGGCTACAATGTGCTTTTTAAAAAAACAATGCAGGGAGAGGAAAATTAGAATATCGACCAAAGAACAGGACTCCCTGTGCTGGCAGGCCTCTTCTGGGGCTTAGTCTGCACACGTCTGTCTGTTTGCTGGGAGTAGTTTCGTCTTTCCGGGTCCGTCCCTCCCTGGCCTCCGCGGGCAGCACCTCACAAAGGGTTGGCCAGCGCCTTTTTGGATCGCTTGATCATACTGGGGTGGAACTCGGTGTGACGCCGGGCGTGCTTTGTGAGGTGGTCACTCCTCATGAAGCGCTTTTCACAGAGCGGACAGCGGAACTGCTTCTCCCCAGTGTGGGTCCGGTAGTGGCGGGTCAGCTCATCCGAGCGCGAGAACTTTTTAAGGCAGTCTGGCCACGTGCAGGGAAAGGGCCGTTCACCTAAGAGAAGGAAATCAAGGCAGGACACAGTGTAAAGAACACGCAACAGAATTCCTGAAGGCTGGTCGCGGTCAACCGGCCCTCGGACTCAAAGGATAAGCCCTTTGTATGTCAGTGTCCAGGCGCTGGATTAATTATGCGCCACACCGACCGCGCCCCGCCCCCTGCCTTTGTGCCACGTGGAAGCCCTAACCCCCAGTTCTGGGAATGTGGCTGCCTATGGAGATACGGTCTTCGAGGAGATGGTGACTGTTACATGAGGTCATGAGGCTGGGCCCTAATCCACGACTGGTGGCCTGGTAAGAAGAGATTAGGACACAAACAGAGAGAGGAAAGGCCACGTAAAGAGGCTGGGAGAAGGCGGCCATCTCCCGGCCAAGGAGAGAAGCCTCTGAAGGAATCATCACTGTCAAACATCTTAATCTTGAACTTCCAGCTTCCAAATCTGTGAGAAATACATTTCTGTACTCTAAGCCACTCAGACTGTGGTCCTTTGTTCTGGCAGCCCTAGAAAACTAACACCGTGAAGAAATTGCTGAGAATCATCTTCTCTAAGCGAATGAGCTTGCTATTTCGTACCCAGTGGATCCCCCAAGAGCCTTGGAAATTATTTGTTCTGGTTTTATTCTACACGGTTGCTGGTTTCATGAGTTCTCCCAGAGGAGTGAAAAAACTCAGGCCTTTGCTGAATTTCCTGGTGACGAAGAGGTGGAGAAGACCTGGAATGTGGTCCAACTAACCTCCCACCCGCAACAGGCAAGTCCCCTCGAGCCCCGAGTGCTGCAGACACCTGTCTGAGCAAGCCTGGTGCCTGGGAGCCCCGTACCCGGAGAGAAAGCCTACTTGTTGCTCAGCACCTGTTTCATACACTCACTGACGCGTTCGTTATCTGCCTTCCTGGGAAGCCTGTGTCTTAAGTCATACTGCCTTCACTCTAAAGACAAGTCTGTTCCCTCTGCCACATACTAATCCTTTAAATATCTGAAGATAGCTGACCTGTGTTCCTCTAATTCTTCCTTGTCTTTCTTCCATTTTTCTCATAACAGAAGGACCAACATTTCTAACTTAATAACCTAAGTGCAGGCACAGAGTTAAAAGCATTATCTCATTGAAATCTCACAAGACACCCCAGGGAGGTGGCCCATTTTACAGATGAGGAAACAGAGGCGTTAACACTTGACAGTCGTTCCACATCCTTCCCTGTTCCAGTTACTTTCCTCAAATTCACAGTGTCTGTGTCCCATTTAAATTGCAGCTAAGTCCTGCCTCCCAGACGTGATCAGGCCAGCACTGGGGGCCTCCTGACCCCCAGAACGGCAGGGGAGGGACTATGTCCATTTTTGAGTGACACATACAAGCAGAAAGGAAGAATGAGCTGTTTGAGGCGAGAGTCTGGCTGGCACCTCTGGGGAGTGCCTGCTGCCCCCCCAGCTCCAACCTGCTCTTCACACCTCTCCATGCACAGCCCAAAGTGGCTGCTCCACAGACCCAGGTCACATGAACTGCTGGCTTCTACAGAACTCTCCAGACACTCCTTTGGAAGCTGTGAGGCCTGAATATTTTCTCACCTGTCCCCACCTTCCTGGAACTCAGAGAAAGACTCCAAAGGCTAAGAGCTGTCTAATGTGGTGCATCTGAATCATCCAGAAGTTACTCTTTCTTTTTCCCGGCTCCTCCAAATCTGTGCCAGAGATGCGAAAATAATGGTAACAATAAAAAAACAAAGCCTCTATCATCTGCATGACAACCTATGAAAACCAAGGTTTAATCTGCTGTTCTCCACGCAGAGCAACGGTGACCACAACCTCTTCAACCTACTTGTTCTCGTGGGAAACCCAAAGTGGGCAAATCGAATCTGCATATGGTAGTCCCCCCTCATCCACAGGGACATGTACCTGAAGCCACAGAGTGCCAAACCCTAGACACAATGGTTTTTTCCCTATACATACACATTATGGCTTCTTTCCAGCATATCTGAATTGCCAGCATCACCATTCTTGTCCTTCGGGGCCATTATTAAGTAAAATAAGGGTTATTTGAAAGGCCTCAGTGATACTGCGACAGCCTTTGATAACTGAGACAGTCACAAGTGAGGAGCAGGCGTGGGGCGCGCACAGCGTGCACGCACTGCTCAAAGGGATGACGCACAGCCGAGGCGGAATGGTGCCATCGGCAGAACGGTCAACGCACTACCCAGAATGGCACACAATTTACAATGTATGAACTCTTTCTTTCTGCAATTTCCCGCTTAATGTTGCCAGACTGCTGTTGGCTGTGGGTAACTAAAACGGCAGAGAGCAAAACTGCGAAAGGGGGAAGACTATTGGCGAGTTCGCTCTACGGGGGCCTGGGTATAAATTCTCACTGTGCTATGTGCTGAAGAGCCACAGTGGCGAGAAGCCACAGCAGACCCATAAATGTGAGCCTGGCCTGAGGTGGTCGAGTGCTGGGGTTAATAACATACGGACATGCTCACTGCCTCTAGCAGGGACAAAAAGGGGGGAAAAAAAAAGCTTCAGACTGAACTCTCTGAAAAACCCAATGACACAGAGTGGAAAAACTACTTTGCCGCTTTAATTGTATCACACAGCTTTTTAACACAGTTCAGCAGAATTCTGAGCAAAAGCCGAAAAACAGGTTTGTCGCAACCCAACAAGGTTGAGCTTCCTGGGGCCAAGACAATGTCACATCTGACTTTTGTGCTACTTGTGCTTCCAAGCATTTAGCAAATGCTTTCTCTCTGTGTATGTGTGTGTGTTGAACCTGCTCATCCTCCAGGTTGGTCACATGACCAAAGCCTGCTCAGAAGTTCCCGGATCACTGGGCAAGACTTCTGGGCTATTCCAGAATTGGACTGCAGCAAAGTCCTCTCTAACCCCGATGATGTGTCTACAGGAGAAATGTTCTTTTGAACAGGCTACGTTTTTTTTAAAAAATGTAAATAAATGGTCAGAATTCATAGAGTGGTAATTTGTGAAAACGAAAACAAAAGAAACCAACACCCCCCCCCCTCTGTCCTTACTGCTTTCTGATTTGGAGGTGAGGAAAGCGATGGAAAGAAAAAGCAGTGTTTTCTCAGTGCTTGTTAAGCCAAAAAGTCATCGGATGTGGCTTTTTTGGAGCGGTGGTAACGTGGCTTAGCTTACTCATTGGCACATGTTTCTTTCAAGTGAGTCATGAGAGGAGGTTAATTTATTTGAATGGATCTGTCTCCACTGTGGGAAAAAAGGGGGTCATAAGACCACTGCGCCGTGGGCAAGGATCAGAAAGGAAATAAGCCACTCCCTCTGTAGTAGGAAGATGGTTCTATGGACATGACAGTGACTGGAACGTAGTCATGAAGCCTGAATCAGCTGTAGGCACAGGAGAACTATCAGGTATGAATGCTCATAACTTATATATAGTTCAAATGTAATCAGGGTCTATTCCCATTGAATTCACTTTTAATTGAGCTAGCTTATGGCTACAGTCTCTTCACTGCCCCACAGAGCTGTCCTCATGTGACTGTTCTCACTGACGCAGCGTCCTCATCCCTGAGCGTTCCAGAGAAGACAGGGCCACCCACAGAGCCCAGCACAAACCAGAGTCTGTGGCGGTCTTTGTTCAACTCATGTAACTTGTATAATTCAAGTTTACAGTTTCCAAGTGTTTTTTTAAATGCTTGGAAGTGAGCTGCTCTTGTAAAAGCTCCAGGATCATTTTGATTCTTCTCGGATCCTTTGGAAAATCATGAGCAGCTTTTGAACAATGCACTTCATCAAGGGTTGGCAAACTACAGCCCACAGCCAAATGTGATCTGCCGCCTGTTTGTGTCAAGTCCATGAGCTAAGAATGGTTTAAACACCATTCTTAGATTTGCTTTTTACCAAATGGTTGGGAAAAATATCAAGACAAGAAGAATACTGTGTGACGGGAGAAAGCTAGACGAGGCCCAGATGTTCACGTCCACACACAGAGCCGTCCTGGGACCGAGCCACGCTCGTTCGCTCACGCGTTGTCCACACCACGGCAGGGCTGGGTAGTGGCGACAGAGATCGAGTGGCCCACGTCTAGGATATTTACCGTCTAGTCCTTTATAGGAAGTGTCTGACCCTCGATCTCAATCTGAAGATCTGAACCTCTACCTGGTGTAAATCCAAGTGTCTTCAGAGGCCAGACACGTAACAGAAATGGGTGAAATGCCAGGTGTATAAGATCATGGGGAGTGCTTTTCCCTCTGAAAGGCCTTCAAATTCAGCACTTTGTAAACACTGAGCCAGCCAGGCCGTGTCTCTGACGCTGGGTTATTCTTGGGATTTACCATCTGCCCTTTACCATCACCCACTTCTTTGACCCATTGGAGAGTTTGAGTACGACCTACTACGCATGCTAGTTAATGATAGACATATGTTAAGGTTATCACCTAGAAAATAACACGTTTTCACCTAAGAAAGTGTGGAATGGGGAAATCCTATGTAGAGGAGGAAGAGAACTGCAGGCTGAACGGGGCCAGAGATGACGTGCAGGAGAGGAAGGAGCTGCAGAGAGGCCCCGACCGGCCCTGCGCCCTGCGGCCGGTGGGAGGTCAAGTCAGGTCGTTCCCTTCAGCTCAGCGCTAAGGCCCCCAAAAGAATCCTTGTTCATACGGAACAAAGCTGTGGCAAATCAGCTATCAACTAAAGAATATTTAAACTTGTCTTTAGTATTAATGAGAGAGTTGCCATCCTCCTGGGGGCGGAAAAAGGAACAGACATGTACTAGTGCTTTATTTCTGGCCTTCACAGGAAAACACACCCAGAGGCAGTGACACAATAAACTCTGCTTTACTGGAGCAGAGCTGTGAACAGCACAAGTTTCTCTGCGTTTCCATTATTTATATAACACTCCACTCCCCTTCCAGCAACAAGCTAAGCACCTCTCACCGACAGACTCAGCTCGGAGTATAAAATAAACTCGATCAAAAGTGCCCCCGAACACTGCACCAAATGTGCAAGTGACTCTCTTTGCAGAGACAGGTCAGG